TTCAGAGTTCAAGTCCGGGTCAGGTCAAAGACTTTTTTATTTTATTTTCCTTTATATTTTGATAGTAAAGTATTAAATAATTCTGGTAATTAAAAAAATATATATTTAATACTTTACTATCAGAATATAAACTAAAATAAAAATAAAAAAGTCTTTGACCTGACCCGGATTTGAACTCTGAATCTTCGGTTCGTGGTCGGAAACTCTACGCACTGCGCTATGGAGACATGTTCGATTTATATTCAATACTAGAATTTAAAGGACTAATAAAAATATAGGATCTTCTTTCAATGCGCAGTAGGGAACGCAACGTTTACCGGCAGCCAGATGGGCCGCACGCTGTTCTAGAGAGCATAGTAAAAGATGTATCAAAGAGCTAGACGTTTTAAAATACTTGTTTTTCCGACGTTGATAGCTCTCGTACTATTAAGCAACAATATTAATTTTTAACCTCTATAACGCAGTTTAACGGCAAAAAACTCGTCTTGATCTAATTCATGTCCAAAAAAATGAGTATAGACGAGACAAGTTTGCTGATTCCGACTATTTAGTGCTTTTGACATTTTATTGTAATGATAACGGTAATTTTAACTAAAAGATTTAATTTTAAATTTGTTAAAGAAATACTCAAAATAAAATTGAAAATGACGAACCAGATTAGCAAAGATAATCTCATGACAACTGGCAACATTTGCCATGACTACCAACATAGAGTTTTTTTTACCGTACAATTTACAGTACACGCCAACTTTGATTGATTTCTTTATAAACTTTGTATCCTTCATTGTGGAAAACAAATACCTCGATATACAGGGTGATCCAAACTGTATTCCTGAAACTTTGGCAGCATATTCTGCAGATAAAAATAAGTAAAAAAGTTCGTATAAATGTATGTCCTAAAATGCTCTCTCCTGTGTCATTTTTATTTCGATTTTTTTCAAATAATTTATGAAGCAACATCAATATTCGGGTGAAAATTGGTGTCTGGGAGATTTTTTGCATGAGAAATTTGATTTTATCCAAAAAAATCCTTATGGGTATTTCGCCACTGCACTGCAAGAAAAATCTACAAAATAAAATAGTTATTTTTTGTAAACACTTCTGCGTTAAACCTAAACGGACCCTGCTTGTCAGAAGTTGTGTTTACAGTAATAAAAATTCTGCCTAACAAAAGAAAAAAAATGCTTTAACGTTTCGAAAGCTTCTTCCGTCGTCGGAAGCAAAAAATATAAAGAATCAAGAAAAAAACTATTTAAAATATTTAAATTGAACTATTCGAGAACACTTTACTTTTTAAAACATATACGTCTACAAGAAATCGTTGACGTTTTGTTAAAATGACATTATATTTTTAAAATAAAAATAAATATAAATATAAAAATCATAATATAATGACATTATATTTTTTAATTAAATTTGATTTTGATGTCAATATGACTCTTACTTGTTGTAGAGGGCGCCACCTACATATATTTAACTGGTTTGATTATGATTTGATATTTAATAACTTATCGTCCGTACCTGTATAAAGGTACCGAGTAAAAAGGGAGTCATATTGACATCAAAATCAAATTTCCCATGTCAAAAAACGCCCAGACATGAATTTTCATCCAAATATTGACGTTACCCCAGAAATTATTTGGAAAGAATCTAAATAAAAATGAAACTTCTACACCCTGTATCTCCGAAACTAAGCATTTTAGACATACATTTATACGAACTTTTTTACTTATTTTTATCTGCAGAATATGCTGCCGAAGTTTCCGGAAGACGATTCGGACCACCCTGTATAGTATTTATTTAATGTCTAATCCACAAAATTAGTTATTTTAAATCTATTATTCCCCAAAGTATATACTCTGTTTTTTTTCTCAGGTAAGATTTCGACAGACGATGACAGAAGAAAAGGAGATGACGTCCCATACCAATCTATTTATTTTACTAAAAAAAGTTTCTAATAATTTTTAAGTTAACTATGGATGGGTTTAAATATAAATCCGTCATGCGTCGTCTCTTGTTGTTTTTAACCAGTTTTATTGGTTTATTTCAAAAATGACAGATCGTATTTCAATTTCATTGGTTTGCCGGAACGATGAACGACAAACGGACGCCGATGCGTATGAACTCGCCTTTAGATTTTTGACTCTTGTCAAAGTCTTGCCAAATTAGAGGTTATAATTTTGTGTCAACTTTTGTCAGTTTTATGAAATACCCTGCGTTTTGGAAGATGATGCATTTTGATTCGTGTTATTACGTGTGTTTTGTATCTTTTGAAGCCAAGTGGAGGAAAAATCGAGTGAAAACTAACTGTAGACCCAGAGCACAGTTTATGGTTAATACTCGCTGCTCAGGCAAAAAGTCTTTTACACCAATAAAGTTACCATCTTTAAAGTTCGTATACCATCTCGTCGTAGATAAGTGCATATCGAATATGGTAGAAGGACCATACTAAACACATACTAAAAACTGAAGTAGCTGTAAAATATCGACATCACACAATAGGTAAATAATGGATTTTAGTACTGCACAAGAAAAATAATGCCAAAGGTACTGGTTTAAAAAAATTAAGATTAAAGTTAATTAATCAACCTTTAAGTGTGCTTTAAGGTACCTATAAAATTTGGTAAGTGTTATTAATAATAAAATAGTTTGTTTTATTTGTGTTGTTTTATTTATTCCTGCGGAATATTACAAATTTGTATTTGTACATAAGTTATGTGGATAAATATAATCATAAATACGGGAACTTTCATAAAGCTTGAACGAAAATAAGTAAGAAATAGTTCTTTTTTGTATTTTTTTGGTATGTGGTGTCTTGTTCTTGTTTGTTTTGTATTAACACATACCATTTTTTATTAAATTAAATAACTCGATTACATTTTTTCAGTTTTATACAGTTTTTTTCAGAATATTTTGAAGTGATCACTTGTCATTCAAATTTTAAATATATTAATTTCCTGCTATACGTTCCAGTTGTACCAACTTATTTCTTTGTAAAATAAAATAAACTACTTTGAAATTAAAATGACAGACACATCTATCACTGTCAAGGATCTTCTCGTTGGACAGACTATACCTAAAAATACTCAGTATTCGAGCTTAGGATAAAACAAACTAAAAAACAAGGCTTCCATAGAAAGTCACATTTACTTCTCCGAGTTTGCAAATTGATTTTACCGAATTTTCCTTCTCTAGCGTTCGTTCTCAAACAACTCCAGGAATAGAATAGACGAACTGATAACGACACGGTAAAAGAAGATCGGTAAAACGTCACTCTAAAAGACATTTACATTCCTCCGGAATTTTCCCGGAGCTAGAGTTTCTCTTATTTTGCTTCTATTCAGACTTCCGTCACTATTTTCTTTTCTATTATCTATAATTCAGCGTCGTTGCCATTGAGGAAATATTTTCCCTGTTTCTGATAGTTAAACAACGAATTAAATGAATATTCTTAGTATCTGTGTTGAAGTTGACGGAACTACCATACGATCGAAAAAAAAGGCGTCAAAGACGGCTGGGGAATAATAATCGATGACAATTTTGGCGAGGTTAAGCCCTAGACGTCATTTACTTAGCCTCTGCTCTTTTTACTCTTTAACGTAGCTTACTATCTGCCAGTTGGCCTTAAGGTATAGTTAAAAATTCCAGGAAATATTTTTTTTTGAAAATAGATTTGTGATCATACGGTATTACATAATATTAGTATTTTTTATATGTAAGATAATCAGTATGTGAAGTGTAAAGTATCTAAAGTCTTTTAAAACTAAAATATAATTTTTTGAATAAACATTTTTGCAAGATTGCACGATTCACATACGAGATGATGGTCCCAAAATCAACTAGTAATTTATTATTTGAATAAAAATTTAAAAATGTCAATAAAGTGGTTGTTTTGTCAGATTGTAAATTTGTATTAATACATTGCCTAATAATAAGCAATTGTGGATAATAATAATAATAATTCAATATTGTTATCACGATTACACAGCTACGTTATCATAAGCCTTAAACATAGAGCGACGACACAGAAAAACCTTATTTTCTTTCATACAATTCTTTATTTAGTTTCTTATTTTATCAATTATTTTTAGCATTGTCATTAATTTTAGTTATTCTATTGTTTAGTTAATTTTAAACTCTTATTTAAGTTGTGTATTAAACTGAAGAAGCACATAACGAGTAGGTATAGAATAATCTTCATATGTGATGAAAGCCATATGAAAAACACTAAAAATATTTAAAATTTCCAATTCATTTCCCATTTGTTTTGCGGATCAGAATTGTAGGAAAAAAGACAGGGCGACCATCAAAACACAACAGTCACAGCCAATCACAGTTGCTTTCTATTTATTTTTTATTTTACTATTACTTAACAAAGAAAGAAAAATATACCGTGTGTGTCTCAAAAGTGGCTCACCCCTATAACTTTTTAATTTTTTCAGATAAAAAAACGAGATTTCACATCTATTTTTCCAAGGCGTTAGTGAGGGCTGTAAGAGCTATTAAGAGATGTATCTTCCGCAGGAAGCATCTTAGGGCATACATTCTTATGAAATTTTTCTTTTATTTTTGTGTGTACTACCACCAACTGAAGTTCGATACATAATTTTTTAACACCCTGTATAATTAGTTATTAAAATAAACGTCATCTTGCATTAATAAGGGTTCTTAATAAAAGGAATATTATCTAAAAAGTGTGAAGGTTTACTGCATTGTATAATATCGATATTATCTATAAACAACACATCATAACTCAAACTGTTTTATTTTTATATCATCTGGCCACTTCAATGTATTTTTAGTAAATTTAAATAGAAAGCAACTAGACGTACACCAATCACATCAACAAACAAACACAAAATAAGAAAACAATAACACTAACACGGACAATAACAACAGCCACTCTAAACGAATAAAACCAAAAAAAAAAAAATAAAAAAAAGAGAAAAGACAAACAGAAACAACGGCCAATCGAGCCAGTCTCGTGCAGCGATTCGTACTTTCCGGCAGGGAGATGGACCGGTGGCCTGGGCTGCCGTGCCTCGACCTCGATCCGAACCCGGTCAGGCTCTTCATGCCGGCGAAGATGCGTCTGCGCATCGACGTGGCGTCTTGGGGCGCAGCCGTGGCCATGGAGGAGGGCGTGGCCGGTTGCTGCGCGCCGCCGACCTGGTGCTTGCTGCGCCGAGGGTCTGTACAAGAGAGGCGAGGCGGGGATTAAGAGACGGCGCTTAACAGGGGGATGGTGTGGGATGGAGGCGGAGTTAAACGGCGTAATGCAGTAAACAGAGACACAGGATAAGGGTGTTTCTTTTTCGAAACGTAATAAACAAGCTTCAATAAACTTAAATTTCATTAAGGCTGTATTCCGTTGCAAAACCAGGCGAACCAGACCGGTAGTTACACTTTAACTTGGTTTTCGCTTGGAAAGCAGAACGGTTCTGCTCCAGTTAGTGGTTGTAGTCTAGAGGTTGCTTTTTTTTTATCTAGATCGCTTGCTTTTTCATTGCCTTCTATCCCTTAATGAGTCAGCACTCAGAGTAGGAGGACTTTATTTTCTTTGCCTAATAAGATGGCTAAGTCATAAAGTTAACAGTATTCCAATAATTTTACTCATATTATGATTGCTAGCTCTCAGCCTATTATATGTACTTTTCTTTACTGACTATTAAACACCCATTTTTTTGCTTGTATGTCTTCTGTCTTCTTAGTAATTCACATTACTATCTAATGTTATTGAAAACATGGTTGCAAAAAAAAACGATGACACTACTTAGAGGAAGCTAATTTCTATTTAGACTAAACAGGTTTTGACACCTTTTTATAATACGGTTAATAGCTAACATATCAAAATTGATAAAGCCTGTATTTGACTCTTATTCTATTCTTGTTTAATAAAAGTTCAAGTTGAAATAGACCTCCCTAGAGGGACCTTTTATTTCAGACCATATTCAATTTCTAGATTTTATGCCTGTGTCTCTCATACTACACTAGATCATAAATAAGTATACATTTTACTATTCTTTATATATCTTTCTCGTAATGGCTTAAATGATGTATGATGAAAGTATAAAATCAATCTATATACTTAGAAGATCCTAGTTACTAGGCTAACAGCCTAAATTAACAAGAAATTCTAATTAGGCGGTTTCTATAAATACAATATGCCTGTAGTAATACTAAACTGGCAGTTGGAAAATATCCCTTCTATAAAATTCAGTAAAATTGAATAATGAAAACGACAAAATAAATCACTAAAATTTAAAAAATAAAAAAAATTAAAATTAATGTAACCAATAAAATTCCGACTTATTATTGTGTAAATTATTAACAAAATCCGGTGAAAATGCAAGAAATAAATTATATTCATACTCAAATAATTACAAATAATATAGGTATTCAAAAACAAAAAAAAATATTAACAATAATTATATTGCGCAAAACTTTATTTGAATTTTCCATTTCAACGATTTGCATGTTGGTGATTTCATCAGCTGAAAACAATACATTTATATTGCTTTCATTTCAGGTTTATCAGAATAATAAATACGATTATGCATTTATGAAATATTACAGATCATAAATGCTAATTACTCGATTATAATAAATATCATCGATGAATCTATGGAGATATTAAGGTTCCATACAGCGTGTACATGAAAAGTTTGTATAAAATTCTACCATATTAAATATTTGTAGAGCTAAAATATATATACAAATAATACCCTTCTAACAAAATTTTCTTTAATAGTGTTGAATATACAGGGTGTCCTATATTGATATCGCGTAAACCAAAACAAAAAAAAACGATTTTTTTCGGATATCATCAACGTCATCATTTTCAGTTTATTCAACCATTTCCAATTATGGTATAGCCTGCCTTATATTTGATATTCTCATTGTTGACTTTATCAGACAGTTTCAATTCTGTGTTATTAGAAGTTTCAATTCTTCTGATTTTTACAACAGCTAGGATTTCACAGTTATCTAGTTTCTGTCCAATAATACCTTTGAGTCCACCGGGACCCGAAGTTTCACCATCTAGTTCTTTTACTAAAATTTAGTATGGAAATTCATTTAAATTTAATAAACAAATTAACCATTGTAAGGGACGTTTTAATTCTTTTTCCAACAAACAAATAACGCCATCTTTCACTCCCGTATTCAAAACAGTTCCATCTGTCCCAACTGCTACTAAATCGGAAAGTTCGGTCAAGTCAAACTTTTCTTTCAAGAAATTAACCAAAGACCGTTGTATATGACATACAGATTCGCTTTCCGATGTGACATAGCCCAAATATTTAGAACCGGGTTCACTTAGAATAGAAATATGTTCTTCCACAACGCGTTTTCCCTTCCTTTTATTCTTATCGTAAATAATAGTAGACCCAAGAAGCATTTTTTGTTTTATAAGTGTGTTAAGAAACTTCCCAACACCATATTATACAACCTAAACGCATCTACAATGGTTGTCGTGAGTTATTGGTAACCATTATATAACACTTATATGCCCTAAACGGTCCATTTTATAACTGTTCCTATGGTAACCCTTAACACTCAAAGTGTGCAACCAAAGTCCTGAACACTTTCTCAACACCTTTATATATCCTATCGAGTTACCGCTATAAAACTGAAAAAGGGTATATAATAGTTATATAGTGGTGTTGAGAAGGTTCCCAGAGACTACTTCCATAGAAATATCACGCATGCGCGTTTTTTGAAAATATACTTGTTTCTTTCTCACTAACTACTATAATATTTGCCTCTTTTTTAAGATAAAAAGCAGATATGATCTTATTGCTGCAAGTTGTCCTACGCAGATAATCCAGACCAGAAACAAAAGAGACAAAATGACGCCATCCCTGTCATAGCCTACAAAAGCGTTTGCGTTATGCAAATGACTTTATAGAAATTACTGGCTTAATAAAATCTATTGTGCCTAGCCAGAGTACTAAATACATATGCGATATTAAATTTACTGTGTGAAAATCAATTTTACCTCCAAAAAACACATGCGCCCCCAAAAGCAGAATTATTTAATAGATTTTTTATAAACAAAAAAAATATGGTAAAATTTTGTAATGAAAGTCAAATTTATTAATACAAATAATAGAACATACGACTTTTTTAATACATAGAAATAACTGGCAACTGGCCAAAATATAGTTTTGTACCAGTTTTCAACGTTATCTTAGAAATACTCATTGTAGCCAAAAATGAAGACATCAATAATAATGGCGTCCATTATATTTAAAGTGCTATATATTACTTTAGGGTCTATAACATACTCATCGACCATTATATAAATTTGGTTACTTAAGGTTGCGTAAATGAGTTTGGGTTATTTAAAACACCAATTTTAGTGTTTTATACAACTAAAGGTAATACAAATCACCATTATGAATGCCGGGGTGTTTATGGCTACTTTTAGTCACCCAGAAAACCTTTATGTAACCCGTGGTGTCGACTGTAGCGACTCCCTGCGAACGAAGTTTGACATTACAGCAATTTGACAGAAAATATGCAGAAAACAAAACATAACCTCATAAAATTGTTAAAGTTGAAATAGACCTCTTTGGTACAATTTGATCTATATTTAAAGACCTGTTTTGGTACAATTTGATCTATATTTAAAGTGGTAGCAGTTTGCAAAAGAGTTCTAGGGTCCTTTGGTACTTTGGTAGAACAGTTATGAATGAATTGACTATAGAAAAAAGTTCTTTAAGTGTAGAATGTGTAATGTTAAAGCGCAAAGCTCACTCTCTTATGTAAGAGAATGCCTTAACAAGCATATTCCTGTTTCTGATCGTTTTGGCAACTTTCTGTTGGAAATATCTCAGGTTGATCCTGATCTCTGCTTGTGGATGGTAAATTTGCATGTTGGCTTTCAATATTGGTAGATGTAGTTTGAATAAGGTTTGGATTATTCCTATTTTTTTAAATTCTGAAGAACCTTCCTCTTGAACGTAGATGTATTTTTGTGTTTTGTCCAGATTATTTTTTTATTATTCATTATAATACCGAATTGCTTTGCTTGCTAATATATTATTTGTTTTGATTATATTAACAATTTGAGGTAATGTCATTAGGTTTGATATTCGGTAACTACAGGTTATATAAAGCATGCAAACATTTGAAAGGTGTAAAAAAACGATTTGAGGGAACAATTATATAACTTGTAGTATTATTGGTTACATAATGGTTCTTAATAACACCTTTAGTTATATAGTGTATATCTTGCGTACCTTTATAACACCTAATACCAGAAGTTATATAAAATAGATGTGAACACCTTTATAAAACCTTACTATGAAACCTTTAGTAACAAGAACCTGTAGTTTTATAAGGAAAGTGATAAACAACATTACAAGGTTACTATTAGTGATAAGTAACCAACGCTACACTTATATAAATCAAAACACTCTAAGGTACCAATGAGACATTTATTAAACCTTTATATAACTAACCTTGAGAATATATAACCTAAAGGAACTTAAAATGTTACTTGGGGAGTCTTTTCGACCATCAAAAACACGCCTAGTGCCACGGATGGTAGTTTATCATGCAGGTGGACAAGTTTCAAATATATTGAGGAACCGGAATACAATAATTTAAGTGATTTAGTTTGGACAACATTACTGGGTTATATTTTATAGTCATGTTAAGCAGTGTGTTAAAGGTAAAAGATAAATAATTATCAAATATGTTGACGGGCAAACAAACTAATATTTTTGAAAATATCTCAGGTTTTAAGGCCCGTGAGGAACCTGAAGATACAAAGGCAGGGGGCTCAGCTTTTGAGAAAAAAAAATTACTTATCTAAAGGCACAATTTGAGGCTTGTGTGAAAATATTTTGGAAAAATAATTTTTTTTCGTTCCACCCTAGTGTCCATCCAGGTTTCGAATGTTTTTTTCTTTAGATAAAGTGGCAGTCTAGGTTTGAATATGATTGAGTTTCTTCCATAAGTACTCCATGATAATTTAACTCTTCTGTTTTTCTGGTAGTAGAAATCCCGAGCTGTGTATTAGTTGTCCCAAATTTATATATTCTTCTACTATTTCCAGAGTTTTGTCCTATCCATTTAAAATAGCATAACTTTACATTTGTAACTAATATTGTACCAATGCATTGGTTTTTATTAAAAAAAATTATCAAGAAGAAAATTTAAATTAAAATATACGTTATACCAT